GAGGCTGCCGAGCGCCCCGAATCCCTCGCGCCCGCGACTGCGGCACTGGAGAAGTGGGAGCTCCTCTGAGAGCCCTGCAGGCCGAGAGGAATCAGGAACCTTTCGACCCGCGGGGCCCCAGAGATGTCTGAGAACGCGCAGCGGTGAGGAGCGTGGGTTCTGACGTCATATCACCTGAGTTCGAATCCCAAGTCGTCTGCTTTGCTGTGTGACCGTAAGCAATCGCTTCACTTCTCTGTGCTTCGATTTTTTAATCATTGTAAAATGAAGATAATAGTACCACCATAGGGCTGTTGCGAGGACTGCGAAGATCTCAATGTGCAAGAGCTGACTTGTAACAGTTGTCCGAAACATGATTGCTTATTTATGTTGTGTCGGGAGTGTGAGGTTTGTGTACTGGGGTCTGCAGAGCAGGAACGTTCCCGCCCAAGATTTATAAGATCCCTGGCCTTCCCCCTTCATCTCTTGACTCTTCCCGCCCCCTCTACAGGTGTTCAAAATGCCCATTCAGCAGCCCCGAAAGTCTGAGCAGTCTTTGTTGCCTCCTGGCATTTACAGATTGGCAACTGCAAACCAAGTAGTGTACGCGACTCACTGAGGTACGGTCCCTGTGTTACTCACACTGGAAGTCAAGACTTGGGGCAGTCAGAGGAAGTCACATAACAGATAAGGGGGTCTGCTCTCCCTCCGCAGCTCCACTGTTTGCACAAGACAGAGAAAGTGCAGTGGGGGATGGGCTGGAGGGAGCTCAGACCAAACGGGGTGGCTCCGAATCTGTCCTTCCCTTTGAAATAAAGGAGTGTCTGTTGTGCCTCTCCCTTCTCCATCAGGGACCTTCTAACCAACACAGTCCTACACCCCTGGCCTCAAGAGCTCCAGCCCTGAGCCACAGGGACTGAGCAGTTACTCTGCAAACCTAGGGCAATGCTCCTCCGATAGCCATTCGTTCATTCACTTATTTAGTCATTTGCTCAGTAGATATTTACCGAGTAGTGCTATGTGCTGAGCACTGTATTTCCTACTGGGGAGAGAGTAGCCACGGACTCGCATTCCCATAGGAAGACAGACAATAAAACAAGTAAGTCAACAAATGTGGGAGACAATGTCAGCTAAGAATAGACGCTATGGAGGAAATAACCAGGCAGATGTGACAGAGCAGTAGCTAGGGGGCGAAGGAAGGCTTCCCAGAGGAGGTGATACTGGGCATTTGGCCTTGGCAAAGAAAGACTTTCTATCACCCTTCCCCCGTCCCAGGCTGTGTGCAGAGCCCACAGAAGGGAGAATCTGCTTTCAGGAGGGTTAAGCGGGCCAACGCGAAAGCAAGAGAGAAGGGGCAGCCAGGGGTGTGTCTGCCAGGGGGTAGGGATGCAGGGCTTGAAGCAGAGGGGCCTGCCACCCCCAGCTGTTCTGGTACACGGTGAAGTGACCGGAAGTGTAGAGATACTGCCTGGCGCTTCAATGGTGGAGGGACAAACAGCGAGCCAGGGAGAACCTTAGCTGAGAGAGAAATGACGCACTGGGAGAGCAAAGGCGGGGCCACAACTGGGCTTGAGGGGCGTCCATGTCACTTCTGGCTGAAAGGGTGCCCTGCACCCTTGCAGGGGAGCTGGGTGAGAGGGGGTCAGCTTTCAGCTATGGCAGAGGGATGGATGGATGGAGAGGTGGATGGGCCGATGGAGCAGCAAATGAGAAATAACCAGCTACACTTAGCGTCTCTGGGGAAAGACATGTGTGAACGGACTTAGGAGGGGGATCCGGAGCGATTTTTGTGAGGAAAACAACACACCCAGAATGTTCCAACGCAGTCACAGGCAAACCCACATGCACTTTCTCACTCGCAGGCACACGCTCACTCTGAGTTCATCTCTAAGGTACCTCGTAGGAAGGTAGAAGGCCCCCCTGCTGGTTCCAAGGGCCAGGACCTCGGTGCACCAGGAGGGATTCCAGCTGAGGACACCAAAGTCTGCGCCCGAGGGCTCGGGTTTTGAAATTCTCCCCGGGGTGGCCAGGAAAAGGTTAAATAAGGAGGCCATGATTAAACAGGTCATAAAAGCATGGGGTGGGTAGATGGCAAGAAGCAACGCTCAAAGAAAGCTTTCTGGAACGCGGCAGGGTTGTTTTTTGTTTTGTCTTTTTGCACTGAGAACAGCAATTTGCATTGAGAGCAGCTCAGAAGTTACTGGAGAATATTGTAATTGCCATTGTACCTGTCTTGGTGTTGACCCCCCGCCCCATGCATTTTGCTTCTCTTAGTTTCCTCCTTGTGTCTAAGCCTGGAATGGGAGGATGGGGGGAGAAGTAGAAGGACTGCAGACACCTTCTGGGCGCTAGCAGGCAGCTTCAGGGCGCAGGGGACCAAAGTAGCCTGCTAGCTTGGAACAGCTCAGCAAAAATGCGCCTCTAAGACCCCGGACTGGACCACGTGGCATTTTCATTCATTCGTTCAGTGCACATTTTATGAGTGCCTAGGATGTGCCAAGCCCTGCGGTGAACAAGGCAGGCCTGGCCCCTACTCTGAGAGAACTCACTGTTCTTGTGCAGCCCGGGAGAGGCCAGCACGCTCTTAATTTTGTCTCTTGATTCATGAAGAGGGGGAGGGAGAGCAACCGGTTGTCCTTGGCTAGAGGAAACCAAAGACTCTGGGAACTGCCTCACTGAGCAGTGGAAGGAACCCAGGCTTTACTATTTTATTCCATAAATATTTGTGGGGTGCCAGGCGGGGCAGAGGCTTCCCTCTCGAAACCTCGGACTACTGAGGTGGAGACGAACACCGAGCGGGCCACCGGACAACCACGAAGTCCAGGATGGAGATGCGGCCCCAACTGGGAGAGATGGGAAGTCTTTCTGGAGGAAGAGACTCTGCGCTGAACACCAAGTTATGGCAAGACAAAAGCGCAGGGATGAGATGGGGGGATTCCAGAACTTGGCAGATTCTGAGAACTGAAATGAACTTGGGCTGAACAGGAGCATTTGGGATGATGGCAGGCTCACTCACTGTTTGCTCTCCAAGGTTGGAAAATTCGTTTCTTTGAGTTTCAGTCTACCCATCTGGAAAATGGGTATGAGGAGGCCAGCGTCACCAGATAGTTGGGGCGGCCCAAGGGAATGACCTGTGGATGGCTTCTGGCACAACAGGCACTCAGTATCTATAAGATCCTCATTTGGCTTAGGTCTGCGAGCCAGAGAGGCGCGGGTCCCCATGGGCGGCGGGGGAAGGGTTCGGGCCTGCGCACCCCTGGCCGCGGTTTGCAGAATATCTTTATTAACGAGCACTTCAAGGTAAGCCGCGATGGAAACCAGATGTGGGATCGCGCAGTCGGCGGCAGAGCAAGGAGCAGAGATACCAAGGGAGAGGGGTGGGGGTGAGGATTAGCTAAGATGAGGTTGGGGGTAGAAGCACGACCCCCCCCCAGATATTTTTTCTTAGGGAGACCTTTTAGGTGCAGAAGATTGACTTCTGCCCCACATTCCCGGGTTCAGGGCGCTCAGGCCCTCTCTCATTTTACTCTGCCCCTTCACCTTTCACCCCACTCCCAGCCTCCCTTGAGATACGTCCTCTATCCACGGATTTTTCCCTGCAGTTTATCGAGGGCTGCTCTTACTGGTCTCCTTCACACTGAGTCATTCCGCAGTCAGAGATCCGTTTCCTCTGTTCTGTGCGTTTTCGCTGTCAGCAACACCATCCCAGATCTGCCGAGGGACTAACCTCAGCCTGGGTTTCAACGCGGGCGCTGCTACTTCCCGGCTGTGTGACCTCAGCCAGGTGACCGCACCTCTCTGAGCCTCGGTTTGCTCATTGGAAAATTTGGGGACCCCGATTTCCACCACTCACGGTTGTTGTGAGGTGCAGCTGATGATTAGCCATGTGGAAAGGACTCGACGCGCTGTAAACGCTCTTTTCCCTGGAGCGCACACCACCCATCAAATCCAAGCCATTCGGTTTACAGTCGGGGACAGAGAGGCCAGAGATTAGAGACTGCCTCACCCCCACCCGAGCAGTGAGCAGGTGACAGCGTGACGAGGCGCGGCCAGCTGGTCTCCCAGCTCTACATTCTCAGGTGTGCCAGGCAGAAAATCCCCTCGGCCGGGCGGAGACCGACCTGAGGCACACGCGGCTCCTTCCCAGGAGGGGAGAGCTGGGGGGAGGGGGCCGCGTTCTAAGGCTTCGGAAACTGTCCCAGCCTGGGGATTCTCCAGTGTCTGAGTGAACACGGGCCCCTCCTCATCCCTACCCAGTGCCCTTACAGGAAAGGGAAATAGTTAACGAGACGTGAAAGTGGCCGTGCACAGGATGACTGCTGCGTGTGTGTGTGTTAATTTCATGGAGGAACCGAGAATAGGGAAAAGGGGTTGGAAACAGAGGAAAAGGCACCAGTGGGAAGACTCGCAGCTGCACCGCCAAATTCGCACGCAAGAGTATGAACGACTTGCCTGCACCCGGACGCTAGCGGCCCATCAGACTCCGAATGTCGAAACCTGTTCGGTTTTTGGTTTTGTTTTTTTATATTTTTTTTAATCTGTCACTAAAGTTTTACATACCCCCCTCCCCTAGGCCAAAGCTTGGACCCACCAATTCTCAGCCTAGGCTCGGGAGCCCGGGGAGTCCAGACATCTCCCTGGCCCCGCCTTGAATCGAAAAGGCCTTTGGGCGGCTCTTGGTAGAATCCCCTCCGAGCGGCGAGCGAACTAGTGGCATCTCCTTAAGGGGGGGAGGAGTTAGTGGTGGAAGGAGAGTAGGGAGAGGGGAGAAGAGGGAGAGGAGGGGGAAAAAAAGTCAAGAAAAAAAAAATTCACTCTATTTTTCCGCTTCAAAATCTTAAGAGGGTTTGGGAGATCTGGTCAACTTTCCGAAACATCTGAATCTTTTTACAGTCCTCGGTTCTTTTCCTGGGCCAGCTGTGGGGAGGGAGAAGGGAGAGAGAGGAGGGGGTGAGAGCGGGGAGAGAGAGAGAGAGAGAGAGAGAGAGAGAGGCGTGGAGCGGAGGAGGGGGGAAAGCGAGCAGGCCGGCGCGGAGCGCACAGCCACCGCCTCCTTGCCTCTCCAAACTCCCAGCCAAGGCGCGCGGTGGCGTCCTCGCGCTCTCGCTCGCGCCCCCGCCCGTCGCCCGCCCAAGCCAGGCATGAATGCTGAGACTTGCGTCTCTTACTGCGAGTCGCCGGCTGCTGCCATGGACGCCTACTACAGCCCGGTGTCGCAGAGCCGGGAGGGCTCGTCGCCTTTTAGGGCATACCCCGGCGGTGATAAGTTCAGCACAACTTTCCTGTCGGCTGCCGCCAAAGGGCAGGGATTCGGGGACGCCAAGAGCCGCGCCCGCTACGGCGCGGGGCAGCAGGACCTGGCGGCACCCCTGGAGAGTGGCGCCGGAGCGCGGGGCTCTTTTAACAAGTTCCAGCCCCAGTCGCCGGCACCGCAGCCGCCGCCGCCGCAGCCGCAGCCGCCGCCGCAGCCACCCGCGCAGCAACCGCATCTCTACTTGCAGCGAGGCGCCTGCAAGACGCCCCCGGACGGCAGCCTCAAACTCCAGGAAGGCGGCGGCGGCCACAACGCGGCCTTGCAGGTCCCCTGCTACGGTGAGTGCACGTGCGAATCCCTCGGGCTGGGGTCCCCAGGACCCAGGGCTTCGGCACCTTCAAAACCCGTTCGGCTTGCGGGAGGCAGGAGTTGGCGGGCTGGGAGGCGCGGGGCCGAGCTGCGTGTGACTTTGGGTAGGAAAATGGGGATCGACCGCTCCGAGGAGACCAAGGGATAGCGGAGCGTCGGCTATTAAACTCAACCTGGAGTCTGTTTCTCCCCTCTTCGCCGTTCCCCCAAACCACTTGCTTTGCGCTGCCCGCCGGGCCGACTTTGAAGCGGATGCTTCGCACCGGCTCAAGGCGTGCGGCGGGAAACAGTCGCAGCGCAGCGCTCGGGCGCTAGGCTCCGGGGCTGCCGAGGCCTCGCTCCTCGCCGGCTAGGGGGCTCCTCGGGCGGCGCCGCAGGTGGGAGCGTCGCAGGTGCGGAGCCCGGCCGGGAGCCTGGAGCGCAGTCGGCGGAGCGCGCCCGGGATGCCGTGGAACCGGGGCGCCACACGCGTGCGGGTCCGGAGACGCCTGAGGCCGCGGAAGACCTGAGTCGAGGTGGTTCGCGGCGGGCAGGCGGGCCGACCAGAGTTCCCGAGCGTTTCTCCTTCGGCGATCCCCAGAGGCGGCGGCCTCGGAACAATGGTTTAGGACCGACCGGCTGGAACAGAGCTCCAGGCGGCACAGTGCTGGGCAAGAGGGAAGGCTCTGGGTCCTGATTTGGGCCCACGGGGAACCTGAGGCCTAAATGACCTCCAAGCCCCCTTGAAGGCGGCCTCAGGACGCAGGCCTGGGCCCCGAAGCGCCGCGACCGTAGTGGAGGAGAGAGCCTCTCAAGGGTGGCCTGAGGCCAGAGCAGCTGAGGAGCCTGGGCCTTCTCTCCCACAGAATCGGCATTGGTGAGCCCCAAGCTGGCAGGGAGAGAAACTGAGAAGGGAGGGAAAAACGCCTGGGCTAGGAGCCCTGGGTACACACTCTCCCCCTGCGGCCTTGGCCTTCAGGCAGGGCCCCGGAAATGAGCTGGTTCTGACAGGACAACGGCTTTGGCTGCACTGATCCAGGCCCGATGGAGAGACACCAGGCCTGGGGACAGAGGTGGGACATGGTGGAGGCCTTGGCGACTGGGATAACCTTAGGAAGCAACGCATGGGAAACGCTTCCTTACACTCAGCCTCTGTCTGGCTCCCCACAGGCTCAGAATTAGTCCACTAAGTGGTCGTTGACACGCACACTCACACATACACTTGGACTGTACACATACACACACAACCACTTCCTCATGAGCAGCGCGCTCACACACACACCAAGTACGCTCATGTGGCTTCGCACAGAGCCACACACTCTCAAATCCACAGGACAGACTGAGCAGATGTAGAGAGATCCGGTGGCTTTCCCCACCTCCTCCACCTTTCCTCTCCACCTTCCTGTTGGAATGAGATCAGGCACTCGGATCACAGACACTCACAGCTCCACACAGGTGCTCCTTCCACACTCAGGTGGAGAGGGGCTCTCGCCCTGTCCACATGCACCAGCCTGCCAGCCCCGGGGATCAGGCTCCCTCCTCCTGGCCTCACCCAGGCCCCTCCTGGTCCCTGTCCTTTGGGAATGTTAGGTGTGAGCAAGTCGCGGACTGAGGGACCCGTGGAGGTTCGCTGTGCGGAGCCAGGGGACTCGCATGTTTTCTTTCCCACCGCACTGATTTTTCATGTGTTCGAGAAATTCACCAGTGAGGCTTCTGAGGAGGCTGAGTTAATTAGGCAAGGAGAGATCCTGAGCTGCTTTCAGCCTCTCATTTGGAAATGTCTTCGGGTTCAGAGGGAAAAGGGAAAGAGCTAGACCCCTCTGAGCACTGCCTCTGAGCCCTGCTGGGCCCCCACTGCCAGCCTGCATAATGTTTCCTCTACAGGCAGTAGCCGCTGGGGCAGCCCACACTGTGACCTGAGAGTAAGAAATCCCTCTAAAGCCCTGTGTCCTCATCTGCATCACGAGGAGATAACAGTAAGGCCTCATGCGGTAGTAAATGTTCCCCCACAGAGCAAGAGTCTAGCCTCCCCGCTCCACGTTTCCACCGTCGGCCTCTGTGCCGTCGGAACCTGTAAGCACCCAATTGTGAGGACAGGGCAGGCCCCCGACCTTGCGCTAGGCAAAGCCAAAAGCTACAGGTTGAGACAAAAGGCAGCTGGAAACACCAACAGGACCCCACTTCCCTGATGCCCGAGATGGAGGCCCTGCTCAGGGCAAAGCCACAAACAACAAACAGCTCTGCTTGTTCTTTCCCTTCTCTTAGCAGCTGCTGTTTCTCTGGCCAAGAGGAGATTTCTGGCTCCTGTAGAAAAAAAGTTAGGCACATTAGGTCCAAGAGGAGGAAACCGAGGCACCAAGAGGTGAGGTTCTGATCTCTGTAGAGGCAGCTGGGAGGAGGGCCCCTGGAGCGGGCTCTCTAGATGGCCAGCAAGCAGGGAGACTGAAACACACATTGACATGGTTCTCTCCCACACTTGTGAGAGCATGTACTCCAGAGCGGGGGAAATGGGTCTAAGGCAAAAACCTCAGATGTCCCCAGCAGCTTGGGGAAAAGGCAGAGGCAGACACGGCTTTGGTGCCAGACTTGCAGCGGCTGATCTCGGCCCCCACCAAAGGGAGCTTTGACCTGGCAACCTCCTTCCCAGCTCTGTTGGTCCCCCCGTGCAGGAAGCCAGTTCCTCCGTCTGGGCAACTGCACCGAGCGGAGGCGAGGGTCTGAGGTCTCCTTTGGGACGTCAGCCCAGGGAGCCAGTCCTTGGGTCCAAGCGCTCCTTGGAAGGGTGCGGGTTTGGGGGCTGTGCTGGGGCCACGGCGAGAAAGCCTGGGGCAGGACAGCCGCCTCAGGTCTCCAGTGGCGGGGCTTCTCGGAGATGGGGAAAGAGGAGGTGAGAAGCCTTCCACGGCTGCAGACGTTCCCTAACTGCGACTCCGTTTGACTCCACGGTCCCCCCTGGGTGCAGAGACATTCGCGCTTTACTAAAGAGCCCCACTGTGTCCTCGCGTGTTGCAATCCCGACCCCGTCAGGCTCCGGGTTCACACGCGGCCTTCCGAAGTCCCTGCCCGCTGGCCCATCCTAGGCCGCATGGGCCCCAGGAGACACGCCAGGCTGGAGACCGATGTTTCTCAGCCGGGCGAAGAGCCTCCTCGCCGCGGGAGTAGGGACCCCGGCACCTCGCTCCCAACGCGGACGACTCTCCAAGCCGCCGCTTGCGCGGCCCGCCAGGCCTTGGCCTTGCGCCCCGGAACGCTACCGAGAACGGCCCTGCTACCTCCTTCTCTTTCGCTTTCGATTCGGTGCACGCAGGTTTTCGTTGCTAGCCCACCGCTACCTTCCCATCCAGCCGTCCGCGAAGGCAGCGCTCTTAGCGCAGAGGTCTTGGGAGACGAGGGCAGGGCCGGAGACCCCTGGGGCACCGCCGAGGGGCTGGTCTTGATTTGGCGAATTAGACGCAGAGTTTGAATGCTAGAGATATTTATTTTCTCCCACCAGCACAATCCACACACCACAAAATGTGTAAACTCCTCCTGGGTCATATTCGACTTTACTCAAAGAACCGGGGTGTGTTTTGTGTAAGAGAGACACCCCCCCCAAAAAAGGCAGCGAGAAACCGAGGCTTGCACATTAGCCGTAAGAGCCCCTGGGTGATTGTGGGAAGATGGAGGGAAAACTCAAGCCTGGGAGCTGTGACGTCGACCCCCGGTCAATTTTGGGGGTGGGGGAGGAGAGGAAGAAAGATGCTTTTTATTTTTTACTTTGTTCATTTCTGTAAGCTCCAGTCTGCTCTAACAGTCCAGGCTAAACACATACAATCTTAAATAGAAAAACAGAAGGCCTGGATTAAAGGTCTAGTATTATTTTAAATCAGTCGATGCGCACGAAGTTTTCTTTATTATAATTTATATACAGTGAAGTACACAGTTAAGTGGAAAGTTTGAAAAATTGTTATGTACGTGTTCGCTGTATAACGACCACTTGGATCAAGACGCAGACCATTTACGTACTGTATCTGTAAACGAAAACTTTGGGTGGGGGGATTTTTTTTTAAGTTGTTGTAAGGAAATTTCAGAAGAGACTTCAGGGAAGCCAGAGAGCCTGCCCTCCCCCCCCCCCCCCCCCCCGCGCGCCTCCTGTTCGCGATAGCGGCGTTTCTTCAGTGGGCTGACCTTGTACTCCCGGATCTGCGCGGTCCCTACTCTTCGAGGGAACTAGGGGCCGCGCCGGGAACCTTGCTGCGCAAGGCTCTCATGAAGTCGCCGAAGCCCCGAGTTTTGCCCGCTGCAAAGAGGGGCCACAGCAGGAAAACAAGTTAAATGTACCGTACATAAATTTTTGCCGTAGTCCCCGAGAACCTTCGTTTCAGAAAGCAGCTGGGCGCTCTTTTCCGTGGGCATACCTTTTCACCTTGGCCTCAGCTCCTTTCTCTCTTCCCGCAAGTCTGCCCTCGGCTTTGTTTTGGTGGCAAACTGAAATATGAAATGGAAATGTAAGGGCCTTTGCATGTTGGTGTGAAAGGAGGCTGGAGTCCCGGGGTCTGTGTGGGGTTCGGGCTTCTCCGCCGACCCCTGGACCAGGGTGCCCGGAGCAGCAGGCAGGGAAAGAATGTGAAAACTGTCGGGCGCCCGCGAGGCTCCGAGGGCCTGGGATGGAGAATGGGGAGGCTGAGCTGGAGTGGGTGTGCCTTTCACTGCAAGGAGAGGGGAGTTGGGGGCCGGATGCGAGAGCACGCTTGGCTGGAGAGAACTCTCAGCACCCGCAGCCTCAGCTCCCCCCGCCCTCAGGAAACCGAAGGACCTAGGCACAGGCACTGTTTCGGGTGAGGCGGTGAGATCGAGGCTCTGCATCGGGACCTCGCCTGCCAGGTGCCACCTGGCCACGTGCTCCCGCAGCTACGGGGCTTGCCAGGCGTTGCTGAGGTGACAAGGCAGGTCGTCAGATTCGAAAACCAAGACGGGGGGACTCAGCTATGGGCGGATTGTCCCCCAGCAA